GTGACTGCCGCGAACTTCTGAGATTTTCCAAAGCGTATAAAAAGTTTACTAATCCGGCAATAATTATGATATAAAGTTTTTTTTCATTCTGAGGCTTTCTAGTTTATGTACAATGAATACCAAGAGTCTACGTTACTTGGTTTTTCTTTTAAAAAAAACCTAAGAATGCTCCGCGCTAATTTAAAATATGCATACAGGGCGATCCAAAAGTCCCTTCCACCCCCTCTAACTTTTTACTTAATTGAGGTAAAGATGTGAAACTTGGGGGATATTCCTAGGTCAAAGGGAGCTACTTTTTGGCTCCCCTAAAATTTTCAGGGGGGCCCCCCTTGGGGGGGGGGGGGAAACGGCCCCCAACTTTTGATTTTCAAATGGGAAGACCCCCTTTGTGATAGCTCGTTCGAAAGAGCATAAAAAAAGAAAATTTTTCGCGCAAACAGGAAGTCAATATCTCAAACCGTTTCAAAACGGCGGCCGGTTAAAGTTCAAAATGGCCGAAAATTCACACCGGTTATTTGTCGATGGATTTACGCGAAAATCGGTATGTAGGGGTATTTGGACACGAGAAAAACGAATTTGACGTTAGATTTTAAAAAAAATCCAAAATTTCCAAAATGGCCGCCGGTTAAAGTTTAAAATGGCCGAAAATTTTCACCTCGGTTGTTTCCTGATGGATTTGCCTAAAACTTGGAATTTGAGAGTATTTTGGCATAAGATAAACTTTGAACTTAGATTTAAAAAAATCAATTTTTGGTCATTTTGAACTTTAACTGGCGGCCATTTTGGAAATTTCGGTTTTTTTGAACATCTAACGTCAAATTCGTTTTTCTCGTGTCAAAATACCCCTTCATACCGATTTTCGCGTAAATCCATCGACAAATAACCGGTGTGAATTTTCGGCCATTTTGAACTTTAACCGGCCGCCATTTTGAAACGGTTTGAGATATTGACTTCGGGTTTGCGCGAAAAGTTTTCTTTTTTTATGCACTTTCGAACAAGCTATCACAAAGGAGGTCTTCCCATTTGAAAATTAAGAGTTGGGGGCCGTTGCCCCCCCAAGGGGGCCCCCTGTAAAATTTTAGGGGGCCAAAAAGTAGCTCCCTTTGACCTAGGAATATCCCCCAAGTTTCAAATCTTTATCTCAATTAGGTAAAAAGTTAGAGGGGGTGGAAGGGACTTTTGGATCACCCTGTATATAAGCAGAAGCAAACGAACTGATTTGAGGATTGCTGAGCAGGTCAGCATTCTTCGAATAAGAATTTCACTCCTCCGTTTTGTTTAAAACATTGCATAGACAGATATCTACACCCCTGTTATACTTTTCAAAATTTGGTACCACTGCTCTGATAGCCAGGACCAGCCAGGACAGCCGTAAGTGCAATCTGTGAAGAGCCTCAAAACTCATTAGACCATGTGCTAACCATAACACATGCAGAAATCAATTCGCTTTTACAGAAATCCACTTACCCTTCTCCTCCCCGCACACCGGACCTCTGTCTCGAGACGAGGCAGTTTCTTTTGTTCCTCCCGAACGACCCGACCCGGACCCTCGCCCGATTATTTACGCTTGATTAACCATTTCACCGTCACGCTAGGATTCGTCCAATTTTCGAAAAAAAATTTTCGCGTGTTTTTAGGAATGTTTTCTTTACTCTCCGTTAAAACACGAATTAAAAAAGGTCTCATTCATAAAAATCGGCCAAATAGAGAAGTTACAGTTTTCGAAATCCAAAGAAATCAACAAAACTTCTCCATACAAAAAATAAAATGAAGGGAAAAAAAGAAATACATAAATTACAATTAAATATAATTGACCTCAGAATTTGACAAGCAATTCAATTATATAACGGAGAAAAAATTGGGAGAAATAACAAAAAATTCGCCTCTTGCAAGGGGCTTCCTTGTAAGAATTTTAACCTGAAGACAAGGGTTGAATAGCAGCAGTGCTTCATACAATACACGGTGTGCCTGAACGAACATTTTTTTTTTTTGGTCAAAATCGAAATTTCTTTATATTTTTTAACTACAGTGTCTCTTGAGTCGTTCAAGCCAAAAAAAAAATTCCGTCAAGATTCTGGAAAGTAAAGGCGCTTTAAAAGTATTCTGGGGCTATAATAGCTAAATCACCGGTAGTAAATCCCGTCATATTATTAAAACGAAATTGACACCATAGTCTATTGCCTTAGTTTCTTGAATACGATTATTTTAAGCACTCAAACATTTATACCACCAATTTTAGCCATGGGGTGATTACCTGAGAGCCGATAATATCACGAATTTCTCATACAACCTTTCAAAAATGGCTTGCTTTTTGGGCAGCCGATTCGACAATCGAACCGGGATTTAAATGGAAGCTGATAATAACTCAAAGCTGTGTGAAAAATTTTGAGATGAGTATAGGAACGGTTTGTAAATAACGAGGAGAGGCGGGCAAAGTGGCTAACATCCGATCTAATTTTTGTCGTTATTCTGTTGGATTGATATTGCCGCGGACTGCTAACTGTGTCCACAATGGTTTCTGTTCAGCATATCCATATGTAAGTATTTTTACACGTAGAATCTAATTTTCACGTCAGGGAATCGACATATTTTGATTTTGTCGATTTTATACGGAAAATTGATAGTTTTTCGGGATTGAAATTGTTATTGTTTCATGAAAAATAAATGCACCCAAAATGACTAAAGCATATTGATTTTTATATATTTGCACTCACGAAATTGGTTGGTAAATTCAACGAGTGGGTGCATCGACCTGGTATATCAAGTTTCTGCAATTTTTTATGGCAAATTGGTAGATTTTCGGGATGTAGATTGCTCACTTTCAATTCATGAATGAATAAAGCATGGACATGGTTGAGCTTCTTTGCATGGAAATACGTTTAAAATAACAAAATCAAGACATATCTAATGCAATTGCATTTATATCGAGTCAATTTCTTATCAATAATATAACGGGATTTATACTACCAGTGATTTGGATATTTTAGCCCCAAAATACCTTTAAATCGACTTTATCTTTCAGGAGTTCGACAGAACTTTTCCTTTCTTCGCTTAAAATATTATGTAGCACCTTTCATTAAAAATCTGATAAGATTTTGCTGGGGGCAGATCAAAAAACTTAAACTCTTTCGAATGGCTTTCTACATTCACAATACACAGTCACATCAAAGTTGGATCGTATGAATTCTCTTGTTGTGCTACTTGCCTATTTCGACAACTCTGTAAATGAAAACTAAAGGGGTTGATATGTGCGAGTTAATGACGCGCCTTATCAACACATTGTGTTGGAATTCACTGCTTGTTTTTAATTTTAAAGAGAATAATATTCGTCAATTAGACCAAGTGGAGCTCTGTCTCTTCTTAGTTCTTCCCTTCTCGTCTCCTCTTACACTTACAAAATGCTTACTCTTCCATTTTGAAACATTTTCTCTCAGATTCAAGAAAAAGTAAAATACCTACCTACTTACTGATCTCAAAATCTATCACTTCAAAGCTCAAAAATACAGGTACTCTATTTATTTATCAAATATTTCCTATTTCAAAAAAGAAATACGTTGGCAAAGGAAACTGTTAATTTCTGAAAAATCATTTAAATTCTTTCAAGGATAGTTTAAGATCCCTCCCTCCCTTTCGTACCAAAAAAGAAGGATATACTATTAGGGGGTATGTACTAGGATTCTTTATAAGCAAGAAATTTGTTTTGTTCCAAATATGAAAGCTACCTAACGTTTTACTTTATCCATAAAATTTATTTTGGTGTTCAACCGGTACGGCTGTGTGTTCAACCAAAATTTGAAAAGAAAAATTCAAAATTATGTTTTTGCTGTTTTACTCAACTTCCTGGGCATTTCTAAAGTTCCCTTTGACGGTTTACCACGTGCGTATAAAGGGACTTAAGATTCATAAGTTTCTAGGGTTTATAATCCTGAATTCTGAGTGTTAAATGAAATTTCCTCATGAAATTTCTTTTTATAATCTTTCACGAAATTTCTTAACTCTGCCCTCGATATAATCTTTTGATATTTTAAAAAAAAAAAAAAAAATCAAGAAAATCCAGGGGAAATGGGGTGGATTTTTCATCACCCTCTTCCAGAGTTATTCAGGTTAGTTCTTCACATTTTAGGGCAGCCAAGAAATCTTGGTGGAAATCGAGGAAAGGGGGAACTTCTACATTTTTTTTTTTTTTTTTTTTTTTTTTTTTTTTTTTTTTTTTTTTTTCAAATTTTACTGTCATTTAAGTACTGATTGGTCGATATCGCTGGACATGAACTATTAAAATTATTTAGGAAGCTCAGAAAAAAGTTAATCAAAATAATTATTTGTGATGGTCTACCTAATACTTAGCCTGATCGTATTGTACGGTTTAGGGACAGTTTTAGAGTTGGTCAGAGGTTCTAACGCTTGACAATTTTTCTGGCTCGTTAAGACTCTCCCTCTGTAGCATTTACAAAATGGAGTCACGGGAATTGCTCCCCCATGAAGAAATCTCTCGACTAGGGCTGAGATTTTGAGATTTATTGGGGGCTAAAAACACAATAGCAGACATGCTAATATGCTCTCCCTTTTTTGAAGGATATAAAACACAGAAAAGGGTTTTTGCTGCGATAGCTGCATATTGGTGGTTAAGGAACAGTATCCCTCACCTGCAGACTCATGGTACTACAGGACAGAGAAAAAACTTCGCCATTTTTTGTAATTTTGAGGTTAGATTTGCAATGTTTTATAAACATCACAGCGTCATTACAGCAATCCCATGCGGAATTAGAAAAAATTAAAAAAATCAGCTTGCGTACCATATACTGTAGAATGCAGCAAAGTCAGTAACTCATTTTCGCCAAAATTACCTGTTTATAATAGCGGTGTTGTTCTTTAGCCCATGATATACGTAAATTATTAAAAAGGGAGGACTTTTTCATTGAAAACAAAGAAGTTAAGGGTTTTGTACTCACTTTTTTTCTTCAGAAAACAAAGAAACTATAAAGGCAGAAATGAACGCATACCTTGGATTGAAGGTACTACTGCTAGGTAAGGAGGACCAGTAGAGATTTGGGTGTGGACACGAGATTGCAACAAATTTAGCAATGAGGTGTGGTGAGGAATGAGCCAGGTACCAGCCAAGGAGAGCTCCCAAGTCGTGACCAACTACCGAGCAGCGACCCATTCCAAAGGAGCTAATCAGGTCCGACAACTCCCTTAATATTACCTCAACACGGTAGCTTTTCCGTCGTAGCGGCTTATCCGAGTCACCAAAGCCTTTTAAATCCAAAGCTATCACTCTGTAATGAAAAACTTCTGTTACTTTAATTTATTGACTCCCTTTGCAAGTATTCAGACTTTCAATTTTAGTTGAGTGCCTTTATGGGGAGAGTATAGACAACTCGAAAATTTGGAGGTTAGGTTTGATCAGGTCATGTAGCTCTTGGGGCCCAAAAAGGGAGCCAACCTGTGAACTAGAATTATCTAGTGGTACAAATTATCACATTTCGACTATTTACACTCATCAAAAATTATAAAAGCACGTATAAAACTTTAAATTCGCTAACATTTTCTAAGTTTCAAAGTTTTAATCGTTAAAAACGCTTGTTTGTAAAGCGCTGTCGGCCATATTGAATAATCTTCCCGATGCATAGGTTGGCAGCGGCACTTTTCTAGTGATATTCGTTTTTCACGTTGTCGTCCTTTTGGGCCCTAAGAGCTACATAAATCGCCATGATCTTGAGTGGATCTTTACCGGAGATTACGTGAGATGGCACATNGGGGGGGGGGGGGGTTCATGTTATTGCAACTGATTGCAGATATATGGAATGTGGCACGCAAATAGCAAGGGGTAGCTTTGCTGAACCAGGGGCAGTAGTGGTGTGGTATGAAAATAGAAGTTTGAGCACAGATATTGTGCCAGATCGTGCGTAAAAATAAAGCCTGGGCAATTAGGTTAAGCAGAGTGAAAATTGGGGCACTTTTGTGCAAACAACATATTGAAACGTCTGATCCAGGCAAGGAGCCGCTGGGTTCAAGCCACGGACTGGACCCAGCGGTTTCTTGGCATGGAACCGGCCGGTCCAGTGGACTGAACAGTGGTTTTGTCCCCATTAAGTCCATGCAGGGTCCTCACCTAATCATCCGCATCTTGTCAAGAGGCTGTCATTTTACTGGTAGCCAAAAGTTTGCTAACCAATTTTTTGACATTTTTGAATATTCACTTTATTTCGACACATTCGGGCTCAGCTTGCAATTCTGATGAAAGCTATGTATAATCATGAGTGAAAGTGTTGGTAATTTACGTACTGTATTACAAAACTCGTGAATTTCTTCGGTGATTTTAAAATACTTGCCATTACATTTTCTTAATTATTTTGGTGAGTAACTTACCCATCATACACCTACTTAAAAGGGTGGATAAGAATCATTGACACAAGTCGATTGAAATGGAAACACAATACAATCGACATGGATTCAATCGACATTTTTCTCATCGACATACTTTCCATCAAAAATTTTTTCATCGAACAATTTTTCATCGATATACTGTTTATCAATGTATTTTCGATCGACATTGTTTACATTGACACTTATTCGCTCGAAGATAAGAATCTAAGATCCTCGGAAAAACCTATTTTTGTTCGGGCGTCGTTTCGATCGACATCGGCTCACTCGACACAGGTCGATCAAAAAATGAAAGAAGAATTCAATCAACACTCTTTTGATCAACACACGTCGATTGAAATTTTTTTCATTGACATACTTTTCATTGAACAATTTTTCATCGATATACTATTTATCAATGTATTTTCGATCGACATTGTTTGCATCGATACTTTTCCGCTCGAAAATGACGATTTAGAATCCTTGAAAAAAAACTTTTTGTGCATCGACGTCAGTTTACTTGACATAATTCAATCGAAAAATAGAAGCACAATTCAATCGGTGTCGACATTCTTTTCATCGAAAATTTTTTAACGACATAGTTAATATTTAAGTATTTTTTATCGACATTGTTTACGCCGCCCTTTCTTTGTTCGAAAATAATAATTTAAAATCCTTGAAAAAAACCACTTTAACATCGACATCGTTTTCGTCGACGTCCGTTCATTCGACACAGTTCAATTGAAAATTGAAATGTAATTCAATCAAAATCCATTCAATCGACACAGATCAACAATGTCAGTATTTTTAAAGCAATACGATCAACACTATTCCAATCGACATCGATTCGGCCGACATGCATCATTTTGATCAACAGTGTTACAGTCATTGTAATACGTGCTTACACACCTTAATTTGATCTCTTTTTTTTTTATTTGTATTTATTTTTTTAATTTTTTTTTTTGGACAGTAACGAACTGTATTTAAATCCAGTCCACTAGATGAAAGGAAGTGCTTTCAGATTGCGATAAAGATTGATTAGTTTCGCAGAAAAAGAAAAAAAAGGATAGTTTCAACTTCAATCTTTCCTCTCATTTTCCATGTATATGTGTTTGTAACAGAGAAATGACCGAAGGAAATGATGAGCATTTTTTGGATTAAAATAATAACAACTTTCATTAGAACTTAAATTCTACAAGGCCATTGCGGGGACATAATGTCAGTTCAACAGTTCAAACCAGTGATTTGAGCTGATCAACTTGTGTCATGGAATTTTCAGGGTTAGTGAGGATGACTTTCGACTGCAAAAGAACATTTGATCATACCAAATGCTAGATGCGTTGGCTATATTTTAAAAAATTTAACCTTCAACACGTTTAGATTGAGTTTTTAGGTCAGGTTTATTGATCTTGAGATGTCAGGTGATGTCTGGCAAAAGAAATAACATCAATGTTTAGACCTAAACTGATCTGATGATTCCCTCTCACAGACGTATTAATGAGTAAAAATTGAAAAGTAATGAAGCTTGTTGTTCTGAATACCTCCTAGAAAGTTAACTCTACTTTCATTGAATATTACAATACCATCTGCAGCTGGATTTGTGGCCCAAAAAAGTAGGTACCGAATTTTTTTTGTCGGAGAAGAAGATACGTTTTCTCACAACCTCCTATTCTTACTATTTTAAACTAAATTTTCTGTTAAGTACACCGAGTGACCCAGGCCACCTATGCCAGTCTTTTTCTCAGTTATTTTAGGTCAGACAAAATCGAGGACCGCAGAAATGATAAGGTAATCGACCCCAATCAGGAATTCAAATATCATGGCCCAGAAGCTCCCTCGGCCACCCTGAGAGGTACAAGGGGGGTCCTCACTTCAAAAGTCGAGGTTTACATCAAAATTTGAAACTATTCCATCAGAATCAGAAATTATGGAAAATGTTAACTCAAATTGACTCTGATACGTTCACAATCAGCCCATCTCTGACTGTATGACTGACCCTTAAAAATGAGAGACCTAGCCCCTTACCTTACTCTCTACAAAATACTAGGCCACCGAATTTTTGTGAAGGCTCAAGAAAAATATGTTTTTCCATGCAAACAACCCGAAGTAATTCGAAGTTGACAGTCCTTGGGCTTTGCATTTAGTTACAAGGGGGTCCTTAACTTGTTACGGACTTAAGAAAAGTAGATCTCCCTCCCCCTAAACCTGATCAGCACAGCCTTCCCACAATAAATTGGATCCATTTGAATTCCGGGGGGGGGGGGGGTAGTCAGGGGGCATACGTAACAAAACATATGTCCCGTGTGCAGATTCGTGAAGGCATATTGTGTGATACATCAATCTCTTCGTTTTGATGTCTAGAAAAAGAAAATCGATGATGGCCATCTCAAATTTCATACAAACCCCCCCAAATTCAAGATGACGGCCAAAATGCCGGTTTTGGGGTAATGTTCGATAAGAACCTAAATCAAAATTGATCAAAAATCAATAAGATGGGTGAGGTTGCAACTCAGAATAAAACAACAAAAAAAAGCTGCTTCTAGCTGCAGTAGCATAGAAGAGCGAAACTAATCAAATTGTATATCATCATAGTTGCAACACTCGACCCGAAAAAACTAAAGACATTGGGGTCAGATGCCGCAACATGGCAGTCTGACTAAAGTTCAAAAAAAGAAACGCGAATTTGCCTCCCCCAGGCTAAGACGAATAAGAACTCAAAATAAGTGCCAGAAACCGCAACAAGGCTATCTGGACTTTAGCTCTCTTCTTAGCAGCTCAATACAAAAAATCGGCTATAGGTGACCGCAACGTGGTTCACCTGTTAACACTCGCGAGAATTCGCGAGCATTCAAAAAGGGAGGTTTTAGTCGCACTTGAGGTGATCCCTTATAGGTTCAAGACCTTAGGCGCAACAAGCCTTTTTAGCCGTGTCTAAAGGGTCTCTCGAAGATTGACTCATCAAAAGATCGCACCGAGGAGTTGGCTCATAGATTCAAAACCATAGGCTTAACATGCCTTTTTAGCTTTGGCTTGAGGACTCCAAGATTGATCACAAAAAAATGACGAAACGCGGAGCACGTGCTCAGGCAACAGTGTCCGGTCCGGGCCTCTCTTCAAAAGAGGTGACAATAGCTAGATAGATGCAAATTGTCTGTAATCCAGCTATCGCCGGGTTGTGAATCTCGCTCTACGTAACTCGTCCCAGAGACTCCAATTAGGAGGAATCAGTGGCCGGGCAACCAAAAACTAAAACTCGCCAATTCTCGCGAATAAAATGAACAACTTAGTGCTAACAATACAATACACAATAAATCAAAGGCTACTTAGTCAAAAATGCTAACAATCTATCTGGCAAGTAGCAAGGTCCAGGAAAGAGGACTTCATTTGAGCAAATCAATGAGGAAAAAGGTACAAAATTATTAGCTCTCAGGCCGGCGATCTCAACGCGATCTATCGGCTGAAAGCTAAACTACTTCCTCTCAATTTCAGCTGCAATATCAATCGAAAATATAGCCAATACGGAACAGGTAAAAAAATTTGTAGTTTGCAAATACGTCGTGTCGGGTGTCGATTCTTATGTATTTTCGATCGTAGAATCCGAATTTTCAGTCAAAAGTTAGCCTAAAGATTACTTTTAGGCCAAAATCCAAGATGGCATCCAAAAATACCTCTTACGGGTACTAATTTGCCTATTCGGGTCTACATGCATTGTGAGGTATCAATTATTAGGTTTACAGGGTCGTAGAGTTCGGAAATGAGGTCCATTTTCCGCTGCGACTCTCAAGAAGCCCTAAAATCAAAGATGGCGCCCAAAATGGCCGCCGATCTTACGGATGAAACTGCCATTTAGGGCAGCTGTAACAAACAATACGTTCAAAATTAAGTTTCTTGGGTCAAGAAGTTCGAATAGGAGATCAGATGTTTACTCCTACAAAAAATTAAGCCTCCGAATCGAAAATGGCTGCCGACATTGTTGCCAGTTAGAGGCGCAGACCGGTAAATGACTGATATTAAGGGATTTGCCAAAGGAGGGGTTTCGATAAGGGCCATTGTTGGGCCCATACCCCGAAATTCTTCAATTCTACGATTGTTTGCTCATTTAAAGTCTAAAGTTTGCGGAATGGAACATGATTTGGTCATTTTCGGTCTATTTAGGGGTCTAATACTGGCCGAAACATGAGACTAAAGGCCGATTTTGGCGAGGAATGCGGGGTTTTTGGCTTTCGACGCGCTGTTCCATAACGATCCCATCATTGGAAGAGCAAACTTTCCTTCAAGTACGTTCACTAAGGATGTAAGATAGTCACTTTGGCCAATTTTCGTTGACGGCAAACCTTGCGCTCAGAGTTAAAACGATATTCTAAGAATTTTCTTGTTTTTCATCGTTATTTAAAATGGCATAAAAAGGGCGACTCATCTTAAACCAGAAATACATTCCTTGGCCGAAAAAGTACGCAGCTGGTCAAAACCTTCCTCCAAAAAATTTATGGATTAAGGCCTCCCCCCCCCCAAAAAGAAAAACCTGTGTTGCCACATTTTATTGCTTGACATCACAGAAAACCTCGTAATTATTTCAGTATTTGGAGGCTGTTCTTCGTCGAGCGCATTCAGCAAAGTTCAAAACCCTCGATTTTTCATACGTTACGATCGCATGATTAGTGATTATATAAATGCAATTATCCATCATTATTTTGTTTATTACATGTATGTATCTATAGGGACTCCCATCGGGGCGCGGCGTTCCCGAAGAATCCGAGTTGGCCAAAGATTTCAGCCACTTTCTCAGAATATGCGCATTTTGAAATAAATATGTAAGATTCGAATTACAGTATTCAGTGATGCAAGTAGATTATATTTTGTGTTAGTAATAATTGTTTTAAAATTTTGGCTTAGTAGGTGACCCATTATCTTACGAATTTTGTACACGATATTTGCCCACGAAGACGCAACTTTGAGTCATTGACCGTGATCTGAGATCCGAAAAAAAAATAAGCCATGTGTCAGAATCACAAGTTCTTAATGCTGATTTTTCACCACCCTGACAATCCCTGCCCCAGCCATTGTCATTGCCTGCGATCGATCAGAATTCTGCTTCCTAAAAATAATTTGAAACCATTGGTTTCCCTCACTCCCTCCTCACCGCTTCCTCATCAGTAGCTCCTTCATCAGGTTCTCTGTCTCCTGCATCAGATCTCTTGTTTGGAGCTGCCATTTCATAATTTTGGAGAAATGACGCTGACAATCCCTGCCCCCGCCATTGTCATTGCCTGCGATCGATCAGAATTCTGCTTCCTAAAAATAATTTGAAACCATTGGTTTCCCTCACTCCCTCCTCACCGCTTCCTCATCAGTAGCTCCTTCGTCAGATTCTCTGTCTCCTGCATCAGATCTCTTGTTTGGAGCTGCCATTTCATAATTTTCGAGAAATGACGCATATTACCAAATCTAGCAAACGCTTGGTTTTTCTGGCTCAGACTTACGTCTGTAATGAGTGCTGCCGTGATAGTGAAGAGAGCAGTTAGTGTAAAATTTTCGAAATCGAGTTTCCTTCAAAATTCGTCCAAATTCTTTTCGATGAAATCATTGAAATTGCTAAAACAGCAAAATTTATCTTAATTATATCAAAACGAGACATATGAAAAAGCCGTAAGTGCGCAAAAAATGACTTAGTTTTAGGCATGCCAGCATATCACTGTTTCTCCTGAGAGCCAATGAAAACAGTGCTTTCAAGTAAAGCGTCTTCTGACAATTTCTAATTTGAGAATGAGTTTGTTGTGTATCCAAAACGCAACCATGAAAGCATGCAGAAGATAGCACTTACGGCTGTCTTGCTTAACAATAACCTAGCATGAAAATGAAAAATGCCTTTCTTATGTAATTGAAATAAAATCAGTCGATTTTTAATCATCCAACCCGATTTCTAGGAGTCTTTCGGACATTTTTAGTGGCAATATGAAAAAGAACGGAGGCTCCCTTCAATAAAATTTTCCGGTAAGAAGCTTCTGAGCCTGTTTTCTCAAAACTTCATTTTTGCACTTTACTGCTCTCTTCGCTATCACGGCAGAGTGAGGCAACAAATGAGAGATGCAATATGAGCTCAGCAGTCGACGACTCTATCGCCCACTTTGCACAGGTAATACCACCCGGATAAGACCATGTTCTATGTCGTTTTGCCTTTTAACCAATATTACACTTTTTCTTGCAATGAATTTTTAGTTTTGGATAAGCTCAACCATTCTCTGCGCGATGATAGTATAATTCTCATTTTCATTTCAATGTTGCATTTTTCTCGATTTTTACCCATGATATGTGGGAATGCCTCGCCACGATGGGAGTCTCTATAGATACATACATGTAATAAACAAAATAATGATGGATAATTGCATTTATATAATCACTAATCATGCGATCGTAACGTATGAAAAATCGAGGGTTTTGAACTTTGCTGAATGCGCTCGACGAAGAACAGCCTCCAAATACTGAAATAATTACGAGGTTTTCTGTGATGTCAAGCAATAAAATGTGGCAACACAGGTTTTTCTTTTTGGGGGGGGGGAGGCCTTAATCCATAAATTTTTTGGAGGAAGGTTTTGACCAGCTGCGTACTTTTTCGGCCAAGGAATGTATTTCTGGTTTAAGATGAGTCGCCCTTTTTATGCCATTTTAAATAACGATGAAAAACAAGAAAATTCTTAGAATATCGTTTTAACTCTGAGCGCAAGGTTTGCCGTCAACGAAAATTGGCCAAAGTGACTATCTTACATCCTTAGTGAACGTACTTGAAGGAAAGTTTGCTCTTCCAATGATGGGATCGTTATGGAACAGCGCGTCGAAAGCCAAAAACCCCGCATTCCTCGCCAAAATCGGCCTTTAGTCTCATGTTTCGGCCAGTATTAGACCCCTAAATAGACCGAAAATGACCAAATCATGTTCCATTCCGCAAACTTTAGACTTTAAATGAGCAAACAATCGTAGAATTGAAGAATTTCGGGGTATGGGCCCAACAATGGCCCTTATCGAAACCCCTCCTTTGGCAAATCCCTTAATATCAGTCATTTACCGGTCTGCGCCTCTAACTGGCAACAATGTCGGCAGCCATTTTCGATTCGGAGGCTTAATTTTTTGTAGGAGTAAACATCTGATCTCCTATTCGAACTTCTTGACCCAAGAAACTTAATTTTGAACGTATTGTTTGTTACAGCTGCCCTAAATGGCAGTTTCATCCGTAAGATCGGCGGCCATTTTGGGCGCCATCTTTGATTTTAGGGCTTCTTGAGAGTCGCAGCGGAAAATGGACCTCATTTCCGAACTCTACGACCCTGTAAACCTAATAATTGATACCTCACAATGCATGTAGACCCGAATAGGCAAATTAGTACCCGTAAGAGGTATTTTTGGATGCCATCTTGGATTTTGGCCTAAAAGTAATCTTTAGGCTAACTTTTGACTGAAAATTCGGATTCTACGATCGAAAATACATAAGAATCGACACCCGACACGACGTATTTGCAAACTTCAAATTTTTTTACCCCAAAACCGGCATTTTGGCTCCCATCTTGAATTTGGGGGAGTTTGTATGAAATTTGAGATGGCCATCATCGATTTTCTTTTTCTAGACATCAAAGCGAAGAGATTGATGTATCACACAATATGCCTTCACGAATCTGCACACGGGACATATGTTTTGTTACGTATGCCCCCTGACTAGGGGGGTATAGGACCTGCCTAATTCGGATTCTATTCAAATTCCAATTTAGATTCCTGTCCATTACTGAGAAAAGCATTTTTTTCCTCGAGCCTCTACAACCATCAAGCGACCTAGTATTTTGAAGGGAGGAGCTATGTCCCCTAATTTCAGATGTTCGTCTTTCACACAAGGCTGGGCTACTTTTAGACTCTTTGGCAGCAAGTTTGATCACCATTTCCCGTACTTTCTGATTACAATAGAATAATATAAAAAATAACGCTTGATGGAAAACCTTTGGTTGCCACCACAAAGCAGAGCACATAGTTTCTATGTTTAGCCATCGATATGTTAAATACGTTGAAAACACCGTCTAATAGTAAAAAATCAAAGAGAGTAGATAATGACTACCGGTGGGATTTGGCAAATTCCCCAATTTGAGCCCGCCATCCAATCCAAAAGTCAGGAAATCCGTGAAGGAACAACAACACTGGATCTGCTCGACTTCCGGCTTCAACATAATGTAATTTCACTCCCTGAAAATATAAAGATTATTATATTATCAGTCTCTTTCAGTTATTATACAGCACACCAACAAACCGGTAATATTACCTCTGATCTACAAGTACATCTAAGGAAAAACTGTAATAGAATGGGGCCCTATCACTTACGTTTCAGGACCACATTCCATTATGCTTTCTAGCTCATTCGGGCCGAAAGCCATCGATTTCGCAAGTGCGGGCTCAGGCGTCAGCATTTGGATGTTTAGAGTTTACATCTCGGAGCGCCGATGTTTCTCGCAATCACGTCTTTGACGTCATCGCGTCATCGGATGCTACGAGATGTATGCTCTCGAGATTCGCCGCGGGTTCATTCGTATCTTCGAGGCAGCGAGTATAGGTAGCACCTAGCCAGTGCACCAAGTGTATTACCGTTGTATTGATATTCGAGATATAGAGTCAGTTCTACCATTTGACGAGCGTTGGATTATTTCATCCCCCCCATTACATAGTGGAGACTCCGGGAATCGAGCACGTCATCGAAGATCCCAGGTAAGTAGGATAATTTGAATTTAAATTAGAAAATCTACAGAGTTAGTAGGAATTTTTCGAGCTTCACCAAGTCAAAAATTCACGAAAACCAAAGGTAATTTTCAATTCATTGATAGTACGAACAGTTAGTAAGTTTCAAGCTTCACAAAGTTGAAAACAGAAAGCGTTTAGTAGACAGAAAGTCGTCAGTAAGTTTATTGGAAGCGTTCAATATTCAGTGAAATTCTATTCACCGATTTTCCATTTCATTTCATTTGAAATTTGTTTTCAGTGAAATTTTATTCGCAGATTTTACTGCAGATCATTTCTGGGGCAGCAGAAAAGAATTTAAATTTTTTTTTTTTAGACGAAAGTCTTGAATAAAGTTCGTTTATTTTATTCGTTTTTCTAAAATTTCTGGGGCAGCAGAAAAGTAATTCAAGGAATTTAGACGAAAGTCTTAAGTAAATTTCATTGAAGCCTTGAATTATCAGTCGAATTTAATTCGCAGATCTTACTTTACGTAGTAATTTTACAGAGCTATAGATAGCTTCAAATAATTTCTGGGGCAGCAGAAAAGCTATTTATTAAATATCTGTTTTAAACTTGTGAGCAAGATTAAATCTTCGTGAAGTTTAACCTGTGCATACTTGAAAGTTCTGAAAGTTGATTTTTTCTTCAAGCTATCATACTGGCATTTTTTTTTTTAAGAAAGTTCAGTTTAAGCATATCATCTTCTTTGTGCCTATCGCAGCAATTTGGCGACTTTGTCTCAGATTTACCTTCCCGTGCTGATTCTCGTACGCAGCTGTGATCAAACTTTTCAAGTCACGACGCTGATTGCGCAGAGAATCTGGACGCGCGACGAAATCTGGGATTTCTTTAAGCCTTTCTGCTGATTCTTCTTTCATTGCTTCTATCAGTGTTTGCTAAATTAGTGCCGAGTACGCGGAAGTAACTTAAATTTTTTTTTTTTTTTTGTTAAAGTCAAAATTTTCTCTACTCGTCGGGAAATTGTGCGTCGCTCCATAATTATCGCGTCGAGTAAATAAACAGTAAAAGCTGCCTTGTCTACATTGAATTGCGACTTGTGTGAGAGTTACGGGAAGCAATTCAATGAAGAGAATAGCATAATACGAAAACAATCTTTTTCAAAATCGCTTTTTCAGAGACTCGTAGCTATGTTTCCAATCGCGCTCGTTGCACCAAGAGCGGTTGCAAAAAACGCTGATGCCAGTAAACACAAAGAAAGACCGACCGAGTCCACATTGCCTCATGCCGGTTTAATTGAGAACGAGTACGATGCGGTCGGGTTTGAATGGCAAACCGAACTTGTGCAGGCAGTCCCGTAGGACCAAGAGACATACTGTTAGAGGGCATGGAGACCAGAGACAACGGCCGGAAAATGACCCAAAACTGGAACCAAACATTTCAACCTGGTTTATGGGGGCAAAGTTCCGCGCAGATGGATCCTCGAGGACACAGGGCCTTCCAGGAAATACCGGGACAAAACCGAGAAATTCAAGAAATGTTTAAAGCCCAGCTGGAGGTGACGAGAACGTTGAGCCAATCCATAATGGAATGGAGCCAGTTGATAGCAGGATCCAACGTTCCCCGATCAGCAGAAGGACCAATAATTTCAATTAAGGCACCTCCCTTCAAGAGACGTTTCAAGGGTGAAAGTGACTATGAGATCAGAGACTTTTTGAAAGACTTCGAAACGCACTATCGCAAGTGTTCGGATCAAGAAAAGCGGGACCAGCTCAGGAGTCACCTAGGAAAACGAGCCGTGCAGTATTATGACAACGAGGAAATAGCGTTCCAAAACTGCGAGTCTTTTGAGGAAACCAAACAAAAACTGATCGAATATTTCGATGATGATGAGGATGCCCTCCAGAAGTTCTCTACGCGAACGCAGAGGAGCGATGAGGACCCGTTGGATTTTGTGCAAGCGAAGAGAAAACTGGCGATCTTGGCTAAAGTGAACTCGACTGAAGCACAGTTAGTGAGGAGTATAGTAATGGGATTGGCACCGGAGTATTTGGCCCAGGTGATTAATAATCGTGATTCAACAATTAAGGAGTTAATAGAATCAGTAAAAAATGCTAAACTGGCCGTTGCCGCAACCAGCAAGGGAAGAAACTCTAGTTTGGCTGTGGATCACTATACTGGGCAGGAATCATCCTTAGAATCCCGGGTGAAAGCCACTGAAAATACTCTAGCAACGTTGGTAGCCGCAGTTGATTCAAATCGTGCAGAGACGGAGAGAAATAGTCGAGCATTGAACGCTATGAGGCAGGACTTGGCCAGGGGAGTTGACGCATTAGTAGCCGCAGAAAAAAGGTTACGAGAGGCAACAAGCGGTGACGCGCTCTATCAGGGACAGCAACAAATGGCAGGGATGCCCTTCAAGAAAAGAAAATGGACCCGAAGCCAGGAAGCAAACCCCGGAAATCAGCAGTGTAGATGGAACGGAAACGCGAACCAGGCCGTTTCAAGGGCGCAACCCGCAAATCCTCATCTAAGCCAGCAAAGTTTCATTCAGCAAACTCATGATCCTTCAATCAGTACAATAAAATCTCGTGATAATTTTGTCACTAAAATTTATACTAGAAGTAATTTTCCTGTAAAAGATGAGGGTCATAAGTCTTTTGCTGAAACCAATGAAAAGATTTTGGACAAATCTGCATATGATTTTCCAGATTCAGATACTGTGGATCAGGAGCCTATTTACATAAGAAGTGTTAATTTCATGCAGGATAAAAACGTTGAGCAAGAAGTTTATTCGAACGATAAGTTTTCTTCCGAATTTAAGGAGGTCACAGAGCAGGCTCACTCCTTGTCTGATTTTAATGATTCGAATGTTGGGTCTAATGCATCTTTGAGCAGTGTTTCAGATAGTTATGAGGAAATTGGCGCAAGCAAAGGGATAGTCGAGCCCGTTACGGAGCGTGGGGATCCCGACGCGTTCAAGTTTTGCAAATCTGAGGAGGAGTCAGCCCCATGTGAGATTCAGGAAGAAGACCCTCACAATATACAAATATTCCCTAAGGAATTTGTGAGTTCCCCTGAAGAAAATCGTAAAAATGATCATTTTGATCAACAGGAAAGTGGGAAAGAGGCATCGAAGTTCGTAAACGAGGTCGAGATGCTCACGGTAACAAGCGATGGACTTGAACTTGCGTATGGTTTACGCGTTTCAGGTAAGCAAGGTGAGGTCAGCAATTTTCAAAGCACGGACACCGCCGGTCGCGCAGTTTACAAATTTGAAAGAGTGAGTAAGAAAAAGCGAGGCTATACTACTTCGAATTACACAGATGATGCCAAATCTGAGTTCAAGAAGAAAGTATGTTTGAAAAATAATGGCTATTTTAATGGGCACAATTCCGATCATGATTTTTCTTGGAGGAGTCCCAAGAATTGGAGATTTAGGAGGAAATTCGATCCTGGGGGGATCGTATCAATCCAGGATTTTCGGTACCAAGACAGGTAATTTTCTTATCCTAATGACGATGTTTTTGTTTTTGTTTAACAGGACACGATAGAATATCCTTTGATTTTCAGATTTTTTCCGTGTTTGTTTAAATTTTACTCTTCTTAAAAGACTTTTCCGAAGGGTGAAAGTCCTTAAAAAAAGAAGAAGCTGTTGCAAAAAGGGCAGGTTTAAGGAAAAAATCTCTTACATTTCTTGATCGTCTTGTGTTTTGAGAAAAGATGATTTTTAAGTCCTAAGTTTTTCAGTTGTCTTTAGCTCTGTTAGAAACTCGTTACAGGTATCATTATTCATTTTCGTTTCAAAATTTTTAAATTGTATGTATGTATTTTTATTTCATTCTAGGACACCCGTCTCATTGTTCTGTATTTTCTTAGTTTCTTCAAGTTTTTCTTTTCAAGGATTTTCCATTTTCCATCTTCCTTGAAAGTTTTTTTCCCCTAAAAATTCTCGGAGGACCCAGCCACCAATCTAGGTCAGTGCGCGGAGGCTGAAGGAAAAACAAATCATGGGCATACCGCAGTTGCGCAATTTTTGGGGCGTCGGCCGTCAATTTGGCGAAACAATTTCTCATGTCGAAATTTCAAACAAGAGCGGCGCTCGCTGAATTTTCCGTGTTATGCAAGATGGAATTAGCCGGCGCAACCGAGACGGACGAGTTCGATGTGTTATTGGCAGAAATGGAAAACAAACAATGCGCCAGCTATGGATTTGCTAATTTCATTCGATTAAAGCAGAAGTATAAGTCAGCAATTTTCATTGTGAATTACGACTTGTAACTAAACTAAACTTACCTACCTTTATTACTGATTTTATAAATTGACACTCTCTCTTAGGAAAGGTCAGGATTTTTCCTCTTCCTTGCAGAAATATCAGGAGTACCTAAGCATGGATAGTTTGTAAACGCGCAGCACGTTGTTTGCAGCGTTGTCAGATTTTTTTAAATCTTGATTTTATGAATGTTCATTTATCTAATATTTTATGGTACCTGCAAATTTTACTTTTCAAACTTCCTTCCTTACTTGTATCAAGTGCGATACTTAAGTAAGCCCGATGGTTTTTGATTTCTGTGAACAACCATCAACTTATTAGAAATGGCCATGTTACTTCGGAAATATTCACGACCTAGCAGCAAGGAAACCCATAACAGTTTTCGATTTTTTGTCTGAGAAAAATTTCGTGGTGGAGAAAAGGCTATTGCCCCCGTTTTTAGGTTTCTGTTTTTCGTTTAAAAGTGTTGAATGGTTTCGACTAATTACTTGTACTACTTTTAAAAACGAAACCTTATATAATATTGGAAATTAATTTATTGTTATTTCTACTAGTTTCCGGATAAATTTAATATAATATTTATTTAATATAATAATATATTTAAAAATTTAATATTTCCGGTAGGATCGGTAAATTATGCTACCAGGGTTTTTTGTTTACTTAATTTATTAATATATTATTTTGTGTAATTTACTAAGCGTATCTCTAGATTTTAAGAATCCTGCGCTGATATTTTACAGTTGCGCTTCTAAATTTTGTTAATGTAATTTTTTCTCCTGAGAATAGGAAATTACAGCGCAGTAGTCTAATCCTGTGTTTTTGGCAACGTTTCAGGACTCCTGTTCGCAATGGAAGTTTTCTTGATGCCGTCTCGGAATTCGCATCTCTGATGGGAAACGCACTGACAGTCCACGCATCCTCAATGATTCACACCAAAGTAGCGCCCAAATCGCGGGAACTTTGACTTCGCTGATCGTCAGGCAGGACACCAGCCGGCTCATCTCCTGTCGATGGGATCAGCGGCCCTTTCCCCAGCGTACCCTGCTTCTGGGGTAGAAACATCTCTCCCTGGTTCATCATCCCCTGGTTACCGTAACCGGAGTAGCTAAGCTTCGGCATCCAGCGACTGGTTCGCGGGTCGTATCCCTCAGCGCCCTCGGACGTATCAACCACTCAACGAGGCGGCTAACTTCTTCCACTGGTCGCCAAGCAGGCCGATCCCTAGGACAAGCAGAGGCCATCGATGGGCTTCGAGACACGTTGGAGGCACTCTTCACACCCGGCTCATCCTACCTCCACTTTCGGCGGGATCCGGGCGTGCTTCTCTCAACTGATCGGGAAAGGCATCTGGACATCATCCGGATATCCTGACAATCGAGGGACATCCATTCCTGAGGGCGACACGACGACCTGGCAACCGCGTGTCATCACGGCGTTACAACGAAGAGACAGCCGATGGTGCAAATATCAACATTGGGCATCGCGAAGGACTGAACGAGGCGCTTTTGAGTCAGCAGAATGTGTTGGACGGGCATGGCACCTGAGATTTTTCGGAGCGACAGCAAATTTCTTTGTAGTAGTTTTAAGAACCGAAATCGGGTACTCGTACTCAAATTTTTATTTACGTTTTTTTTCGATTCAAATTTGTTTTTGAGTACCACGAATGCGCCAGGTTAAACTGCGGTGAACAGGTTTCATAGCAATTTTGGGATTTTGTTACATGAACAGAACGGCTATGAAACCTCTCGAACCAAAGTTCTGATCGGGTGCCGGCAAATATAAAATGTAGCCGCTTTATTTATTATTTTTTTCGTAAAAAGTCATATTTTCTATTACCATTCGATTAATGTTTTTTTTTACGCTAGCCTCCTTTTATTTATAATTTTTTTAAACCTACTTTTATTTTACTATTTTTTTTTACGATGAAACGCTGCACTTGCTACGCAAGGGCCTTTGCTTCGAAAGGGATGGTTAAATCATTTTTTTTTCGTTTTTTTTGCCTAAGGTGGAAGAGTGTAATAGAATGGGGCCCTATCACTTACGTTTCAGGACCACATTCCATTATGCTTTCTAGCTCATTCGGGCCGAAAGCCATCGATTTCGCAAGTGCGGGCTCAGGCGTCAGCATTTGGATGTTTAGAGTTTACATCTCGGAGCGCCGATGTTTCTCGCAATCACGTCTTTGACGTCATCGCGTCATCGGATGCTACGAGATGTATGCTCTCGAGATTCGCCGCGGGTTCATTCGTATCTTCGAGGCAGCGAGTATAGGTAGCACCTAGCCAGTGCACCAAGTGTATTACCGTTGTATTGATATTCGAGATATAGAGTCAGTTCTACCATTTGACGAGCGTTGGATTATTTCATCCCCCCCCATTACAAAACATAATATAACCAGCTCAGACATTTTGAATAAGGTGCTCGTTGCTTGACAAAAAAAAGGAATGTAGTCTTGAAAGAGAGAATTAATTGCTTGACAGAGTTCAGAGTTTATTCAACAGCTGGGTGAATTCAAATAAGCATCTAATATGGTGTCCCGAGCTATTTTAATCGTCATAATCTGAGAAACGTGGACAGATCAAATTTTTTTCTCATTTTCCACACTATTGATGACTATTACATACTACTTTCCACTTCATTCGGACTGGAATAAAAATTTAGGAGAACTTTGAATGTGCAAATTGCCTACATTTGTCTCAAATTTGCGTGTCCCCTTTGCCTGGTTCTTGACTTTAAATAAATGTTGCAGCATATCTAGAGTGATTACTCGAGAAAACTTTATAGGAGATGATAGGTAATGCTTTTGAATTTGAGAAAAAAATAGGTCAATTTATTTTTTGCTCCATCAATAACTTTTTCACGCACTAGACTCATTGTCCCGCGCAACTGTCAGCAACAGTCAGGAGAGACGTGGCAACGATGTGACAAGCTCTAAATGATTGCCGTAACGTTGAGGTTTTTCCAAAAACGACTTTTTCTGTTTCGATTGAATAGTTCACACGTCGCAGATGGCAAAAATTCTGAAATTCGCAAATTTTTATGCAAGATTAACGCCATTAATGATGCCAAACGAAATTCTATACACGATAACTAATAGGGCGTCAAGCATACACATACACACACACACAGTCTTGTGCAACAATAGTTGTGGGGCCACTGGATTTGTGTATTGTTGTAAAACTAACCTAACCTAACCTAACTTAACACACACACACACGCACCCTCTCACACACACAACACACGCACACACACCCTCTCACACACACACACTAATATCAGCTCGTAAAATACTTTCGAATTGTGCGTTGGGGAAAATTTTTTCTTATTCCGATACTCTAGGATGTGCTACTAAATATTCCGTGAAAAAAACACCAAAATTGTCTTTACTGTTAGAGATAAGCTTAAAATACAGCTTATTTCCATCCTGTCCCGTTCCATTCGGCCCCATATGTTTTCATCCTGTCCCAGTGTCCCGGTTTAGTAGGACAGAGTGGATAACTGCTACAACTGAGACTAGCTTGTTTAAGCTCCGTAGGCGCTCTTTTCTACCGATTTAAGTGAAACTTGGGAACGGGCGGTATTTTTCAAGGAGGAACTCGAATTTTTAGTCGAATTTTCAAAATTCGAAAATCCAAGGTGGCGGACATGGCTTAAAATGCTATCTCAGCGCCTAATCAATCGACTTACGTGAAACTCGGTATCTGAGGGTATTTTTCAATGGGGAACTCGAATTTTCAGTCGAATGGGTCACTAAACCATGAACAAATTTTGAATTGCGAATATAGTTTTCTGAAGGAAAATGACGCGTAGAACACGATGCGCACATTAAAAACGCGAACAAGTAACTCAATAACCGAGAAATGCGCAGTTCAAATCGCTCAACTTATAAGATGCGTTCTCTCGAGGCATCAGGTCAACTGTTGCTTACCCGATGGGTACCGTTGAGAGTTTGACGATCGTTCTTGAAGACTTGCTGACTTCTCGCTAATTGCCCGATGACTGTCATGGCGGGCCATCGGCCAACGCAATCGCCCAGCACCTTTCAAAGGTGATGGGCAAGGCCGCTGAGCGTTGAGATAACCTCAATGTCTTAAGTATTCGCATTCCCGCAATCCCGCCATCATTTATCGTGTCTCGTAACTCGCCTTTTAATTTAAATAAAATGTAGATTCTTTTTAAATTTGACCTAGTAACCCTCAGGGTTGATTATCTCCGAGAACAATACCTAAAATAATGTAAACCATAACACGCTCCTGTAGTAAACAAAAACAAAACCTGAGCCGCCATGACAGTCACATGACGAAAGTTGGTCATCGGGCAATTCAGGAAAAATCAGCAACGTATTTCCTCTGATGCTTCCAGAGAACGCATCTATACGCAAATTTAAAACGCCCCGGTTTCGCGCCGCGCCGAATGATGTCATCCGGCACCAATCAGAAGCGGGCACGGGTTTCCACAACTTCCGTCAAATGCCTATCTACTCTTCGTATATGAAAACAATACTAAAGTCGAAATTATATCTTTTGAATTCAAGACTTGAATCTCATTCATATGTTAGCTGTAATAAACGAGCAACAATTCCATATTGAAACACGTTTTATTTTAACAAACATCAGAGGAAAATGAGAGAAGATTGCGATGTGACTACCGCAGTGCGTCAACACCGTCAGTTTCCCGCCATTCGGGTGCGTTAGAAATGTCTTGCAGTTTTTAGATTTTTCAAAAGCGGGTTTCTCCGCGATTTCGGCTCCATAAAAATGCGGAAAAATCACCACTTTATCTACTCACATTGTACTTTCAGAATATTCAATAAAATAAACTAGGTTTAGTGATGACCCATTTTCAAAATTCGAAAATCCCAGATGGCGGACGTGGCCTAAGATGCTATCTCAGCACCTAATCAATCGATTTACGCGAAACTTGGTACTCGGGGGTATTTATCGATGGGGAACTCGAATTTTTAGTCGATTTTTCAAAAATCGAAAATATAAGATGGTAGACGTGGCCTAAAATGCTATCTCAGCACCTAGTCCATCGATTAAAGTAAAACTTGGTAATCATAGACATTATTTGACGGGAAACTGAAAATTTTAGTCAAATTTTCAAGATTCGAAAATCTAAGATGGCGGCCGTGCGGCTTAAAACACTATCTCGGTGACTAAATAATTGATTTTAATGAAACTGGACCGGAAAACCTTGATATAAGGAAAAGAAGGAAATTTTAATAGGGGGGCAATACATGGTCTCTTATGTATCTTAGGCTACAAAATCGAAGTATTCCCAGGTTTTTTCCATCGTGCACAGATTCGCCCGGAAAGTTGACTCTGCTGGAAAAGCTAAACTTTTAAGGAAAATTCCGATTTCCACGGAAAAATTCCGAACTTTCCCGGGATAAGTCGCACCGATACAGGTAAATAGAGGTGATCTTCAGAATCAGCGCCAAAAATCTACTCCGAAACCGTTGGCAAATCTTCGGAAAATCAAAAAAAAAAAAAAAAAAAAAAAAAAAAAAAAAAAAAAAAAAAAAAAAANAAAAAAAAAAAAAACCTTGACCAGTGTAATTGATATGATAATGCAATTCCTCAAACTTTTCCTGGCTTCATCTCCACTTCGGCGGGTACACGCCCACTCGAAGTTTTAAAACTCGATGTTTTTGATCCATTTTGTATTGCAATATTCCTAGGAATAAAAGCTTCTTCTCGCGTTAAAGGAAGACAGTGCGCATTTTGATAAACAGACGGAACTGTCTAAAAGACAAGCAGAATAAGGTTCAGATATCATTCATGACGGATAAATTTTTTCTCAATTTTTTTTAGTTCTGCAAGATATGAAAGAGTTACATGTTTTCAATTATGCTTTAATTTAGTGCTCGACGATGATTTTATAAAAATTGTGCTTCTCTCCTTGTGTACATTTCTATTTTTCGGAAAGAAAAATAAAAACGCACAAAAATGATATACAAATTTAATTGTATTGTAATTTTTCTTGATTTTTTTATTGTATTGTACTGTAACATGTAATGTGAACTGTAATTGTGGTATACACTATACACTGTTTTTCTATTGTAATCTTTCTTGTATTGTAATCTGTATTTATTATCCAAAGGATTACTTTCTTTGTTTCTTTTTGAAAAAAAAAATAATAAATAAAAGTGAGAACAAAAAAGCACCGTAAAAAGTAGAAAGGAAATCTTATGCAGGATTTCCTTTAGCTGAGCGGGGGGTATGTGATACTCCCCGCTGCCGCGAGAGAGGAGAGCGAGACCGATTGAGCACCGGTAGTGGGGCCGATAAGTGGAAAATATCATAACAATCGTGCACTTCTGGAAGAAAGCATGAAAATTTCAGGGATTCATCTCTACTCTATAGACTTTCGATTTAGACATAGACCCCAAAAATCTGAGCCCCCTGGGGGGGGGGGGCAGGGGGCCCCCAAAGAGGTTGTTCCATCTACCATTGAAACTGGGCCCAGAATGAAATCTCCTCATCTTTTCAGGTATCAAAGGGCATGGTCAGGGACACCCAAAAATGGTTAAATTTTTTCCAAATTCCCCCCCTGGGGAGGGGGGCGGGGGGTTATATGAAAAACGGTTTTTTGGCTATAACTTTTGAACGGTTTAAGATATTGATTTGAACTTTTTTTTAAATGAAAGGTCGTTTAAAGAGCTTTCTTTTGGTATATTATGTTTAATAGTTAAGTCAATTTTTGACCAATTTATGGCCTGTCAAAAATTTTCCATGAGTCCAAAAATCAGATTTCTGTAGTTTAGAGCAGCGACGATCGCATGCAGATGAACAAAAAACTGTTCAACTTATAGCCCTCTCTCTGACGGTTAAAATGAGCCCAAGATCATCTTGGGGAAACGATTTGTCTCCGAGTTATGCTTCTTCAAAGTTGGCGCGGCGGGGTCCGCTTCCGCGGGGCAGCGCTCCGGAGTACGATAGTTCACTCCCACCCCCCTCCCGTCATGCCACACGACGCAAACCGAAGAAGACTACCTTTAATGATCATTTGAACAGATAAATGCACACAATATACGCTATTTTGTTGTACAAGTATTATTAAAATTATATTGAAAACGCTCTATAAAATGAGAAGCAATATACCTGGATCCGACACTGTGGTGTTAATTTGCCGCAAAGAATATATATATTTTTGTTAAATTGGTCCATCTTTCAAGTATAACGCAGGCTTTAAAATTTAGTAAAATTGCTCCTTATCAGTATTTCATCTTTCAGACGAAATCAGACTTGGCCGTTGACTTGGAGATACAGATATGTGCACTTGTGAATATGCAAGATAACGTTGTACGCCGTTCGTCGCCGGTGCGTCGTCATATTGCAACAA